AGCTTTGGCCATCTGTCTGAATATCGGGGTCGACCCTCCTGATGTGGTCAAGACCAACCCAACATCCAAGCTTGAATGCTGGGTAGACCCGACTTCTACCACAGGAGGTGGGCAAAACAAGATCATGGAGCAGATCGGCAAGAAGCTACAGGAGCAATATGAGACTTTGAGTCTTCGGACCAGATACAAACAGTATCTGGATCCATCGGTTGACGAGACCAAGAAATTCTGCATCTCACTTCGCCGAAATGCCAAGGACGAGCGAGTACTTCTACATTACAATGGACACGGAGTGCCATTGCCAACGCAGTCGGGTGAAATCTGGGTATTCAACAAGAATTATACCCAGTATATCCCTGTTCCACTGTATGATCTGCAGTCTTGGCTAGCTGGACCTAGTCTTTTTGTCTTTGATGTTTCACATGCAGGCAACATTGTCCAAAATTTCCACACTTTTGTGGAGAAGCATGAGAAAGAGAACATTGAAACCAAGAAACGAGACCCGAATGCCGTCATTCAGAATTATGGTGACTGCATCCTCCTAGCCGCGTGCCAGAAGACGGAGTCGCTTCCGACCAATCCCGACCTACCTGCAGACCTATTCACCTGTTGCTTGACAACACCGATTGAAATCGCATTGCGCTTTTTCATCTTGCAGAACCCTTTACGAACAAACATTTCCATTGACGACTTCCGAGTTCCCGGTCGACTTCAAGATCGTCGAAGCCCTCTTGGAGAACTGAACTGGATCTTCACCGCAATTACCGATACGATTGCATGGAACACCTTACCTCGGGCTTTGTTCAAGAAGCTCTTCCGACAGGATCTAATGGTCGCCGCTCTTTTCCGCAACTTTTTGCTCAGCGAACGCATCATGCGCACCTACAAATGTCATCCGATATCTTCGCCCGAATTGCCAGACACACACCATCACCCTCTATGGAAAAGCTGGGACCTTGCCGTCGAGATGGTGTTATCTCAACTACCTGCTCTCATTGATCAAGAAGAAGGGCGCCGGCAGTACGAGTACCAGCACTCAACTTTCTTCGCTGAGCAACTCACTGCTTTTGAGGTGTATCTCTCATCCGGTCCCACGGAGAAGAATCCACCAGATCAGCTTCCTATTGTCCTCCAAGTCCTCTTGAGTCAGGCACACCGCTTGCGGGCCTTGATTCTTCTCAGCAAATTTTTGGACCTCGGCCCATGGGCTGTCCACCTTGCACTCAGCATTGGCATCTTCCCCTATGTTGTCAAGTTGCTGCAATCAGCAGCTCAAGAATTGAAGCCCGTGATGGTTTTCATCTGGGCGAGAATCATGGCAGTCGACCACACTGTACAAAATGATCTACTCAAAGACAACGGCATCCACTACTTTATCTCTATTCTGAACCCTTCTTCGCCCATTCCTGTGGGAAATGCCAGTGAACACAGGGCCATGTGTGCTTTCATAGTCTCGATCTTCTGCAAAAACTACCCGCAGGGACAGAACGTCTGCCTGTCTGGCGAGTTATTTGATTCGTGTCTCAGGCATCTCGGTGATGTGGAAAACCCCCTGCTGCGGCAATGGTCTTGTCTGTGTCTCAGTATGCTCTGGTGCGATTTCCCCGAAGCAAAGTGGATGGGCATTCGATGTGCGGCCCCCGCTAGGCTCTGCGAGTTGAATTTCGACCCCGTCCCCGAAGTTCGCGCTGCGATGCTTCACGCGGTGACTACATTCTTGGGAATTCCAGATCTGACAGACCAAGTTGCACAAATCGAGGAGACATTAGCACTGGCAGTCTTGCCCATGTCTGCCGATGGAAGTGTGGTTGTCAGGAAGGAGCTTATAGTGTTCTTCTCAACATTCGTCAGACGCCACCAAAACAAATTTTTGGTCGCAGCATTTGAGGAGCTTGAGGAAGAAAAGCGATCTCTGATTCATCGCTGGGAGAGCGAAACCTCCACTAACCGCTCCGAAAGACAGACTAGTGCACTAGTTTCCCATGCGAAAATGCCCCAGCTGTCTCGCAATACGACTTTCGGAACTATCTGGAAGCAGCTCCTGGCTCTCTCGGTAGATCCTCATCCTGACATCGCCCAGGATGCCGCCGTTATCGTTGATTACGTCCACCTTGCCTTATTGGACTCTCCAATGGCGCCACTCACTAACAAGCTTCAGAACGAGATTCTAGAAATAACAGGCTTGACGAAATTCCAACCTCGCGAACGAATTGAGGCAAAGAAAACTCCGCCACCTTCAACACCTCCCATGTCTGGAGCAGCAGCCTCGAAACAAGAAGGCTATCTTTCCCTGGGTTTTAGACGAACTGCTAGTGTCGCTGCTTCCCTGAAGAACCTTGCTTTTGGCAATTCAGCAACTGGAGACCCATCCTCAGATAATTCAAACCCTCCTTCGCCTTCAACCAGCCGCATGACAATTACCCCACGCGGCCGGGCCCCTCCTGAATGGACCCGACCCCCGGAAGTAAATGATCATGTTGCTCCCGCAACGGCATACCACCAGGCTCCGATTCCCACATCCCGGGGATTCGAACCCAAGGGCTTTGATGTCGTGCCGGTTATTCCCCTGAAAAGTAGATTCCTAGACTGGTCCACTGAGGTAATTCCGGATTTTGAATCCACCGAGTCCCACAACTATTATTACCTACATTTACTCACCATTTCTAAGTATTTCCGGGAGCCCCAGATGAAACCCAACGAGCCGGATGAGCCCGGTAGCTCTGACTACAACCAGCGCCTCTGGAGACGCGGCCGCAACGAAAAGATCATTGCCGAGACCCAACCCCTCAAAGGAAAAGCTGGAGCGAGCCGTTGGGATAACTCGGTTGCTTTACTATCGAATGGTAGCCAGCCCCACAAGATGTGCTTCCATCAATTCGAGGATCACCTTGCTGTCGCGGATGACCGGGATACAATTTCGTGAGTACAAACAAGTCGCTTTTTTTTGTATTTTGTATGTTCTTCTAACAATTGGTTTCATATAGCATTTGGGACTGGCAAAGCCACAAGCGCCTCAATCAATTCTCAAATGGCAACCCGGTCGGGTCAAAGATCAACGAAGTTCGATACATCAATGAGGACGACCAGGCACTACTTATGACTGGATCTTCTGACGGTGTGATCAAGCTTTTCCGCCATTACGAGACTAATAAGAATATTGAAGTGGTCACAGCCTTCAGAGCCCTCCCCGAACTTATTCCAAGCAATCGCAACGCAGGCCTTGTGCTTGATTGGCAGCAAGGTCAGGGTAAAGCTTTAGTTGCAGGTGATGTCAAGGTTATCCGTGTCTGGAATGCTGCTACTGAGGTGTGCACAAACGTAAGTCTTGAATGTCTGGTCTTACAAACATGTCACGTTACTCACAAAAGCTCAATAACAGGACATTCCAGCACGATCGGGTTCCTGCATCACATCATTGACATCTGACCAAGTAGCGGGTAACATATTCGTTGCCGGTTTCGGTGATGGTGCTGTCCGAGTCTTTGATCAACGGTTGAAGCCAACTACATCAATGGTCAAAGTTTGGCGTGAGCACAAGCAATGGATTACAAATGTCCATATGCAGCGTGGTGGTTTACGAGAATTAATATCAGGTGGCCGTAATGGCGAGGTCCGACTTTGGGATCTTCGCATGGATAGCCCGATCTCCACCATCTATGCTACCAAAGACACCCTGCGGACGTTGAGTGTTCACGAGCACGCGCCTGTCTTCAGCATGTACGTTACCTCTCCGGTAATTTTTTGGTTTTTGTTTCTTCAAAACTAATATGACCCAGGGGTACAAATCGCCACGAAGTCAAAACTTTCAACGTGGATGGCACCTATCTTTCTACGTTCGAGCCATACTCGAGCTTCCTTCATCACAACCGATCCTCGCCCATTGCCAGCACTGCTTTCCATCCCCACCGGACTGTGCTTGCCTGTGCCGCATTGAATGACCATCATGTAAACCTCGTGTCCTGCTAATTCCAACTCAGCTCCGAAATTCATGATACCTTCGTGTGTGGTGACCTTCATGGCAATCTTTCTTTCTCTTGTCCTAATATTACCCTTTCTGTAATATGCATCCGCATACCCGACGAACAATTCTACATGGCGTCTTGGCGATTGACTTGATCAACCATACATTGATGGCTCTGCGTTGTTGATTTTTGTTCCCTTGGGGATGCTTCACTACCCTTTGATATTTGTGACGATTCCTCTATTATTCTACTTCATACAAGACAGTGTACCCGGCCTCGGGTCTATGAACTTCTTTTAACCCTTGTTTTCTTCTCGCTTCGGTATCAAGCGCAATATCTTGTGGCAATGGGTGGTGATGTGTGCTGGTCTCCCTTGTAGTATAATGTTTAGAATGCTCTTGCTCGGCTCACTTTAGTGGAGTGGGTACAGCGCACTCACTAGAAGCAGTCCTGGTGGGAATTATGGCAGGACTAAGTTTGGTTCTTCTTATTTCTAGCTTATTTATCACCCCATTTCCTTGACCATGCTAGACTACAGGATCTGAATAATCTGAGAATTCAGCTAGGTTAGAAACCATATAAAAGCCATTATATATAAGACATCGTAGTATTGCCTCAGCTGATGTCTCCTTTGAGGCATTCCCTCCCTTCTGGCCGTTGCCCTATAACAAATTATACCACACCCGAGGGAAGGATGTAGGAGGAGCACCGAGTATCTCGCTCATATCATTCGACATATGACTTTGACAATGTATACTACCTATGTAGTTCTGTTTCAGCAAATGAGGGTAACGGTGGTCACGTGTGAACAGAAAGAAATTTGTGAGCAAAGAGAACTATATAAATACGAGTGATGCATGAGTCAGAGACTTTTTGGTTTGGCCAAATATTTCTTTGCCGTAGCTAACTTAAATTAAGATTCATTCGATGAGATAAAAACGCAAAAGGATATTGATATTGTTAGGTCATTCTCATAAAATACTAAAGAACACTAGGAATACAGCCTAGAAGAAGTTCATCACATCACTCATAAATAGCCTAGTAGTTGCGCTGGCTGCCAAACGCCGCGTTCTCATCAACTCTGGGGTCAAGCTTGTTCAACAGATCAGACCCGTGGGGACCAGTGGTCTTTCCAGTCTTCGAGGTTTGGTCGCTATAGCCGGTGCCACCGCCAGCTCCATAAGAGTCATTGGCGCCATAGCCAGACTGTCCAGTGGAACGGCCAGCGTTACTACCGTAGTTGTCGCTACCAGACGCAGTGTTGCTCGAGCCATAGCCAGACTGACCGGTGGTACTACCATAGTTGTCGCTACCAGACAGAGGCTTGCTTGAACCATAGGTGGACTGTCCAGTGGAGTGGCCGGTGCTTCCAGACACAGGGTTGCTGGAACCGTAGCCAGTTTGTCCAGTGGAGTGGCTGGTGGAGCTACCATAGTTGTCGCTACCAGAGAGAGGCTTGCTCGAGCCATATCCGGATTGTCCAGTGGAGTGACCGGTGGTGCCACCAGTCAGGGGGTTGCTGGAGCCATGACCGGTAGTGCTACCGTAGGTATCACTGGAGCCATAGCCAGTCTGTCCAGAAGAGTGACCAGAGGTGCCGCCAGTCAAAGGGTTGGTGTGGCCAGCCTGTCCAGTGGTGCCGCCATAGGTATCGCTGGAGCCATAGCCAGTCTGTCCAGCAGAAGAGTGGCCAGTGTTGCTGCCGTAGGTGTCACTGGAGCCATAACCGGCCTGTCCAGAAGAGTGACCAGTGTTGCTGGAGCCATATCCAGTCTTTCCAGCAGAAGAGTGGCCAGTGTTGCTGCCGTAGGTGTCACTGGAGCCATAGCCGGTCTGTCCCGAGGAGTGGCCAGTGTTGCTGGAGCCATAGCCGGTCTCTCCGGTAGAGCGGCCAGTGTTGCTGCCGTAGGTGTTGCTGGATCCTGTAGTTCCAGCGTGCTTTCCTCGGTTGTCTGTAATGGTATATCATGTTAGATGTCCGACCCTGGTATTATAGGGATTCGAAGTAGCTAGTAAATAGCAAGCTTTAAAACTTACCAAGATCGCTATCGACACGAGGATCAAGCTTGTTGGCTATCTTAGAGTCATGGGGTCCAGCATTGGTGGTGCTGGAGCCAGTGTTGGATGAGCCATATCCGCCAGCAGTGTTGGATCCGTAGGTATCAGATTTGCTGCCGTAGTTTCCAGATGTTCCGGAGCTGGCATCAATTGGGCCCTTGCGGGAGTCATGAATGGTGCTAGAGCCATGGCCACTGTGGCCAGTGCTAGCACCAGTGCCGTAGCCTCCAGCTCCAGCACCGGTGGAGGTACCTGTCCCATAGCCGGAGCCTGAATTTAAGCCACCGGTGCCAGTACCACTGCCATAGCCTCCAGAACCGGTGGTGTTTGCATTATCATAGCCGGCTCCAGAGCCGGAGCCATAGGTATTGGAGCCTGCGCCACTAGACGTGTGTTTGCTAGAGGCATTGTCCGTGGTGTTTTGTGAAGATCCGTAGGTATCGCGGGCATCTATATGAATAGAATTGTTAGCATCCTAGTGCAATATCTCCTTATTCAGGAACAACAAACCATCAACCTTGCTGCTGGATGTCTTGGATTCATCGTGGTGATGACCGGTCACGGCATCCTTGACTTTGTGAATAATGCTCGACATGATGTATGGTAATATGCTGTGGATAGCGAGGTAAATGATTTGGAAAGACTATTTGAAGTTTGAATGGGTTGTTTGAGCTAGATTGTTTTTTGATGATGGAAAAAGGGAAGTACAAAGTGCTTCCAGTAGCGAGTTTATATGCTTTACTGTCTTTGCTTGTCTTGATCAGATCACAAGTAGATCTCTACTTGCGGAGTCTAAGTGACGCCATAACGCGGGGGTTCCACGACTACAATTACGGGTGAAACATGGATCAGAACCCTTTGGCTGTCCCGTTCACAGCTGTCATGACGTCCCAAACGGGTTTACACATACAGATGAATGATCTTGGCTGAAAATGAGGAGCTATCAATGTCATCAATCGTCATGTCCCGGATCTACAAGACCAAGCACGCCACTGAGCTAAATCTTGCAAGGATACCTTGTAGATCCGCACGGCCACACGCCGACTGGGATTTCATATTAAGTGGGGTTGACAATTTCGTGCCCATCATTCTTCAAGTTTGGCATTGTTATACCATGGGCAATGGAAGCTTAGCTACTAATTCATTTTATGGCTTCATTAGAAGAGTTTGTGACGTTATTTGTACTCTCTTACTCTTACAGAATGCATAGTAGACATATATCAGGTAGACAATGACTTTCTAGAATGATTTCTCCAGTATACGCTAGTCTCGTTTTGGGCCATATACGTCATAGATATCTCAGAGGCGGTTTCCAAGGTTTCCATGCTAAACCATATATGGTAAGTGGGTCCAGATTTATCGATCGCCGTCCAAAAATATCTCACGGGTGTGCCTTATTATTAAATTAAATATCGTAGAATATGTTAGATGATTCGATCAGCTACTACAACATACAACGTACAGTTTATTATATAGATATGCATGTATTGACAATGCGATTCAAATAAAAAAAAATAAAAAAAGCGGTGGATTACGTAGTTGCCTAGCAATGATGGCATGATCAGCAGTGGTAGCTCTGGGCCGAGAACCTTGGAAGAGGTTCAATCTATATCACATCTACAACATATATCTGTTATTGCGAGATCCAAAAGAGGAGCAAGCAAAATATGTACTATGCCATCTTGTGCCATTGTACAAATTGCAGAATTTGTCTCAGTTCTTTTAAATCGACAATTTTCTCTCACAATACTTTTTGGAGTCTCTTTAACATCTGCTGTATCTTTCGATCTTGAAAGCACCTGGTGCTATAAATAAAAATAAGCAAAGTGGTTAGATCAGCCAAGATAGCATCAAGGTCGAATATTACTACTATTCCAAGGTCGTTTCCTTCCAATATTGTATATTATACTTAATTCGGAGAGTCATGTGATTCGAGGCACAAAGGCCTAAATTATGCCTCAGGCTTCAAACACATGACACGGCGGGCATGCCGTCACCGACCCGGGGTTAGATAATCCACATCATGAGTTCACTTCCCCTTCTCCACCTGACTTCACTTGAAATCCCTCTGCCTCCCTATCTTGACTCGTTGTTGCCTTTGACTTGAGTTGCCTTGCATTCGCGTTGGCTTTAATCTGTCGACTTTCTTCAACCAGCCGTAGTGCTGCTCATTGCGCTCGATGAGTGGCCGCCTGCTAGCTTGGCGCCAACTGTTGGATTGGTCATAAAGAGTCCACCCTAAGTACTGTGGTACAGCGGAGCCGCTGGCATCGTCAATCATTCACTCGATCTACCCCATTTTACTGTGATTAGATACCTCCAACCAAGTTACCCTTCGATTAAAGTGGTTAAATCCATCTATCAAAGACATGCGACCGCCACGCCTGCTCATCGTCCTCTTCTGCCTTATCTTCTTTCCGATCCTCCTCACCTTCTTTTCCGCGCTCACATCGCCCGATGTAGCAACTCCCAGTACGCTCGCTGATCAGACAACGGGGTTGCGCGCTTTATTTTCTTTCAACGTACCATCGTCCCTTTTCCCTCCGTCGGCTATTATCAGTCTCACCGACGATAACTCGACCTTCTTCCTCGCCCGGCCAGCGGCATTTGGTCCACTGCTGCCAACCAAAGGCCTCAGTGGTCAGTTGTGGGTTGGAAGTGGGTTTGGTGAGGGAGGATTAGCTGGTGGTGTGGAAGGAGAACTGGGCTGCTCCGATATTCCCGGCTGGGGTGAGGGCACCAATCATAAGAAACAAGACAAAACCCCCAGGAGCGCGGAGCAGAGTTCTGGCATCTCCGGGGGTAGTATAGTGAATGATCAATCGTTGAACCGCCCGCGGTCGGTGTCGCAGGCCGATACTGCACCTCAGAACAATAGAGATGATTCAATCACCCCGCCCTTGACGAACGATGGCACCGATGATCATCTACATCATCCACTTCCTGAATCCGGTGCTTCTAGCCCAGGGATGAGCCAGAAGCATGGGGATTACGTCCAAAACAAGCCCCCTGCGCATGCCGACATCCAATCACTACAGGAAACTGCCGAAATCCAGGGTAAGGTGGTACTGTTGAGTCGGGGTGGCTGCGGGTTTTTGGAGAAGGCCAAGTGGGCGCAACGACGAGGAGGGGTTGCTTTGATTGTCGGCGACGATACTCGAGGTGGCAACTTGGTCACTATGTACGCACGAGGCGATACATCGAACGTCACGATTCCGGCATTGTTCACATCTCACACTACTGCTCATCTTTTATCGTCATTAGTCCCTGGACATGCCAGTGGAACTGCCAATTTGGCCGATGTATTAAAATCATCACAAGCAAAGCAGGCTGATGCCGAAAAAGAACGAGTGGCAACTACTACAGCACCAACAAGTATTCCAAGTCCAACTGCGAGCAGCCATTCGACAGCTAAGGAGAGACCGGTGCCCTCATCTCACTCGAAAGGCGGATTTTTCCGTTCAATTGGTGCATTCCTGGGATTGTGCGATAAGAACGGAGGTTCGCGGCATTTGGAAGACAGCCGACGTCCTCCCAGCAGCGGCAACATTGACTGGATCAACCTAGGCTCACGGGATGGAAAAGAGGCCCCTTCGAGCGCTTGGAGGAGAGCAGCTGATCTCAATCACCGTGGCGGGGCCAAGGTGGACGATGCATTCGACAGCCACACGGCCGACATGTCCCCTGAAACTTTTGAGGATGATGACTTTGTCATCGGGGTTCAGGACTGGAGAGATCCCGACTTGATGCCTCCTAAGAGTAACACACCTCCGACAGCTAGCACCTCTGTACCTGGCAAGGATACCTCCAAGACTGCCAGCGCAGATAAAGATGTTACTTCCTCGCCCAATGGCCTTCAGGGTGGTAGCATCACACCAGGAAGTGGAGAATACCAGAGCATCGACAAATCCAGTGCTGGTTCTCATGACACGCGCCTCAAGGGGTCTGAGAAAGAATCTATCGGAACTCATGGGAAGCCTGGATCTTCTACAAAGAGCTGGTTCTCGAGTCACTTCGGATGGGGAGATGATACTCAGCAAGACCCTCAGCCTTCTTCGTCGCCTTCACTTCAGAAAAGCAACACAGCAAGCCAGAAGATGGAGAATAGCCCTCATACATCAAGCCGTCTAAGCGCAGAGTCTTCTGAGCACGAAGGTCTTTGGGTTACCATGACTCCCACCAGCATGTCAACCAGCCCCTTTTTCGACACTTTATTGGTCCTTGTCGTCAGTCCTTTGCTCACGCTGACTGTGGTTTATGCTCTTCTGGTGCTCCGGTCTCGAATCCGCCGCCGTCGCTGGCGTGCCCCGAAGTCGGTTATCGAACGACTTCCTGTCCGAACCTACCACACAATTGCTACCACATCTTCCTCGTCTTCCAACTCAACACGACCCCCTAGTCCCGGTCCTCTCTCCCCGACTTCCCCACTTCTTGGCAATGAAAGCCGGCCAAGCGCATCCCGATCAAACAGATCCCGTTCACAAACATTTTCGGGCACCGTGCTAGACTCATCTACCATGCCCAAGGAAGAGAAGTGCAACATCCAAAACGGATCTACCTTATGGCGACGCAAGTACACAGGAAGACAGGTGGAGTGTGTCGTATGCCTTGAGGAATACATTGATGGTCAGAGTCGGGTCATGAGCCTACCATGTGGTCATGAATTCCATGTGGAATGCATGTAAGTGGCATTAAAGAATTTGGTCTTTGTTCTGAAATTTTACTAACATGTTTCCTCAGTACCCCCTGGTTGACTACTCGTCGACGAACTTGTCCAATCTGTAAAGGCGATGTTGTCCGCTCGTTGGCCCATTGTCAATCCAGTGATTCTCGGGGTCATCGTGAGCAGTCCAATGATGACGTTCACTCCGCCCTGTCGATCTCTCGGGGCAGCGCATCTTCCGCTCCAGTACTTATTGAAGGCGCCAATGACGATACCTCAGATACGGAACAAAATGCAGGTCTCCATGACGACCATGCAAATTCTGCCCCACAGTCAAGCTGGCGAAACCTGGCTACGCTTAGCTTTTCTGCTCTGAGCGGCGATACCATATGGCACCAGGCTCGCGCGGACCGTAATCGCTAACATCTATATTCTCTCACTCTTTTCGATTTCCTTTTTTTAACCATTCCCCTCTCCATCCTGCGGGATTTGCTCTCTTTGTATTGAATCATGCTGTATTAGCGGTCGTTTGGAGTTTCTTATGATTTGAATATGCTTGGCGTTGGGTGAGAACAGTTTGGCGTGCTGGGCGGTTACAAAGTGCCTACAAGCATTGTTGAAGCGGCTGGGATATACCGCGGGTCAATCGTTCAAATTTTATATGTTCTTATGTTATTTTGGTAGGATGGATATCTGAATGGATTCCATTGACACTTGGTTGTTATCAACACTACTGCTATGCCGTGACCATCTTTTTATCTGATAGGCTGGCACTGTACACACTGTTCCTGCAACTGCACTTATAATGGGTAATAATCGAAGCTGTTCAGACTACATGCAGAACCAACACTCGACCTCATTCCTTTTCAACATAGACATTCCTAGCAATATCCCCAAACACATCAAGTGCATGAACCAGTCGATCACGCACT